AGATTAAAAATAAGCTAGAAAAATAACTAAGTCTTTAATAGTAGTAGAATAAATTATTTTCATATTGTCTGCTGCAAGCCAAGAATCTTGAGATTCAGAACATCTTCAAAAGTGCGCTGCTGGAAATGTTTGGCCTCATGCTTGGAAGTGGACTATATATTTTCAAAAAGGCTGTTATCCCATTGGGCAATTATTTATAGGGTGAATCTTCCACCAAAATATCTGGAAGCTGTTAGGCCAAGTTCGTACACCACACTAAACTCTCATTCTTCTATCTTTTTTCTCCCCTAAAACTCTGGCTCTTCTTACTGGCCTTGGCTCCATCCACACAGCTCTTGTCGTCAACAGGAGACAAAAAAAAAAAAAGTAAAACCAAACCATTTGTTTCGTTTTGGGCCTCAACCAAGGCCAACTACGTATTATGAACTGTTGTTATGTTTTTTATGTGGAAAACCACTCCGGAGTGTGGAAATATTTTTTTGGATAATGAAACATCAAGGCAAAGTACACTGTTATTAAGAAAGAACTTTTCAGAAGCCAAAACGATGTCACCTAGATCCAATTTGACACCAAACATCCAACCTTCTGCTCTGTGTAAAAAAGACAAAAACAATGCAATTGGCGAAACCAGAAAAAATCTGGCAGGAGAAAGAAAGAAAACGTATCACAAACTAAAAGAGCCATTCAACAGAGGTTGAAGAGTCAAAGTCCAACCGTTTAAATACAAAATCAAATACTTTAATGAAATTAAGGAACAGGAAGACAGCTCAGATATACCACTAAAACGGATATTCTTGTGCTGCACACATTTCTCTCTTAATATAAACACCTTTTTCTTCAGCAAGCTAAGAACAGACAAAAACAATCATTTCTTTCAGACTTTTTGAAAAGATCCTGAGTAAATTTTATTATTAACTAAACCACGTAAAAGGTTAAGCTCTATGAAATCATCCGCAGCTTGGAAAATTGGTGGCCAGCACCAGGATTTTTGTTTCCTTCTTTTTAAAAAAAACCCACTTTCAACACGTGGAATTTAAATACTATTCCATAGTTCTTTCTGCTGGGGATAAAAAATAATAATAATAATAATAAAAAGAAGAAGTAGGCCTGTGGGGAAAAAGAACCTCCAGTTAAGGAACGTAAACATTTGCATTCTCAGGATGCGGGTTCCCAAGTTCCAAACATTACTTGAAACACATTTGCACTTTGAAAAGGGTTAAAGCTTTTCCCCCATCCTTCCCATTTCAGCATCAGGTATTCCTTCTCTCCGCAACTGCCTAATATAGGCACTAGATTTTTTTTAAAGAATCTGGAAATCACCTTTTTCTGTAATAATGCAAACAGGTTCACGGTAAGAAAAAAAAAAGAGAAAACGGAGAGAAAGAAAAATGCTGTTAGCACCAAACAAAATGTTGTTGGGGTGACTTCCCAAGATCCTGTGGGCGTGTGAGAAATATTTTTTTATAAAAATTGGGGAGGGAGCAGGGGGAATCCCAACCCTCTGAACAGTGTCCTGAGGTTTTCCTCCACAGAATCCGATGCAGGCTACAGTCCTGCTTTTTGACAGTTCAAAGGGACATCACACCAGCAGGAAGCAGACACAAAATCCAGCAGACAAGCAACAGCCCTATATCAAGAGAGGAGGGGGTAAAAAGCCAAAGGGGGCCCCCTGTCAATCCTAATTTGCCTGTGTAGGGTCCGTGCCCTTAACTAGTAGTCAAGAAGTTTGTTAAGGCTCCATAGTCCAGCCTTAGGCAAAAGAGGGCTAAGTAGCTGAGGCCGGAGGGGAGGGGGGGAGCTTTGGCTGTGTTGTCTGACTTCATCTCCGGTGCCGGCTGTGGCCGGGGTGGTCTCTGTCATAGCGATGGCTCGGCCTGTCATACGGGTGGTGCCGCTCGGGCCTTTGATCCCTGCAGTAGTGGCTCTTCTTCCGGTACTTGCCGGTGTGCTCGGAGCGTTCCCGCGAACGGCTGCGGGATCTCGAGGAGCTGCGGCTGCGAGACCGCCGGGCTTTGGGAGAGCCGTACTTGTATCCCTTGTCCTTCTTGTAGTTGCGCATCTTGGAGCTTTGGTAAGTGGAGGCGGTGTGGCCGAACTGGTGGGGAGGCGAATCGCTGCGGCTCCTCGAACGGCTGTGCGACTTGGAGCAGCTGGAGGTGGAATAGCTTTCGCTTTTCCTGAAGGGGAGAAGAGGAAGACGGACGGGTTATTTATTGCTGCCCCACCAAGGCACCTTTAAAATTTTTTGAAAACTTGAGGAAGAATTTGCCTGGCGAATCATTTTGCTTCCTCCTACGCTTATACTGGTTAAGGCAGGGGTGTCAAACTCAAGGCCCGGGGCCCACATCCAGCCCGCGGGATGCTTAGATCTGGCTCACAGGGCCGCCTTGGAAATAGTGTCCCGTGGTACCTCTGCCAGCAAAAACGTGGCCCTCCCGAGCTCCACTTTTGCTGGGAGAGGATTGCAGGAGGCCGTCCCAGCTGAAAACGGAGCCCGAGAGCCCGTTTTCTCTGGTAGAGTGCTCGGGACATGCCTGCAGGCCATCTTTTCTTTTGGACTTCAGGCCTGCCAGTTTCTACTATTCATTTTCTATTGTGGGGAAATGGAGGGGGGATTATACAGAGTTGGGTGATATGTAGCCATAACAACATTTTTCTGAGAAAGCCAAGGTCATCCTTGACCATACACCTGGCCGGAACTGGATGGGTGGAAGCTGCCAGCGTGGCAGTGGAACACATTGGACCATGGGATGGACTTGTGGGTGTGAGGGGTAGGATCTTGAACTTTCAACTGGATGGGGAAAACCTGGAAGCTTTCAGATTCGGGTTTTCCAAGATGTGCCAACATGACATTTCTAATAAAGTGGAACTTTGAGGAAACTCAAGTTCAGAGTTTTATTTCGTTAGGGGTGTTTTTGGGAACCCTGACAGTGAGTGATGTCAAGCTGGCCATGCCCACCACTGTCCCAAAGGTCAAACCCAAGCATCTCTCAATGAAATTAAGTTTGACAGCCCTGGGTTAAGGCAATCTTGGGAATGGAGACTGAAAAGGCTGGCTTCCTACTACAGGTGGTCCTCAACTTACAACCACAAGAGTTGAGCCCCAAATTTCTGTGCCTAAGCGAGACAGTTGTTAAAGTAAAGTTTGCCCCCTTTTACCACCTTTCTTTGCCACGGTTGTTAAGTGGATCACGGCAGCTGTTAGGTTATAGTCATTTGTTGGTGAAGCAAGTCTGGCTTTGTCTGTGGACTTGTCGGAAAGTCGCAAAAGGGGATACCGTGACACACACAGACACACACCCCGGGGATGCTGCAACCGTCATAAATATGAACTAGTTGCCAAGCATCTGAATTTGGATTAACTGAGCATAGGGGAATGCTGCAATGGTTGTGTGAAAAATAGTCATAAATCATTTTTTCCAGTGCTGTTATAATTTTGAATGGTCACTAAATAAACCATTGTAAGTTGCAGACTACCTGTAATTGACTTCAACCAGAGGTGGTATTCAGACGGTTTGGACTGGTTCGGGCAAACTAGCAGCATCGACGATCAGTTGCCCCCCCCCGCCCCCACTCTATCCTATCCTTTTATTTCTTGCTTTCTAGTTCCTCTCACTTAGCGACACAGCTGATCCCCCCCGCCACTGTTCTGCTTACCCTTGTTGACTTGGAAGGTAAGAAGCTGAGCTTCTTAATGCTCCATTTTCGGATGCAAGCACTTTAGCCACGAGTGCAAAGCACGCACTCACTGAACCAGTTCAACCGGCAACATCCCACCACTGACTCCCACCTGTTAAAAGTGAGGGCCAAATGCCCAGATAGCAAATGTCTTTGGCCGGAGGAGAAACCAAGCCGTATTTGCAAGCCAAATCCCCATCTGTGTCTAGCAGGAGGGCTTGTGCCTGGCAGAGCAATGAGCTAGGCCAGGCTGCCAAATCCACTCTCTGCAGGCTTTAACCTCAAGAAAACCATTTCCCCACCGCTTTGCATTCCCCGGGTGCCAGCTTGATACTTTTATTACAAAGACCCTTTCGGTGGTTCTTGTGGCTCAAAGCAACTGCTGGTAGAACCAACAAGGCAGCTCCAGCCTTTCGGCAGCCTACCTCTTTTTGGGAGAAGGGGAGTGCGACGTGGATCGGGAATAGCTCTGCTCTCTGCTTCTACTGCGGCTCCTGCTCTCGCGGCCTTTCTGAACGCTGTGGATTCAAAGAATAAGGGAAGTGACACAGTGGATAGGGTTGTTGTTTTTTTCCAGTTAAACAAAGAACTTTCACAGCAGAGGGTAATCTTAAAAATAAGGGTCTCGCTTACAGCAAGGTTCCCCAACCTGGACTCCTTTAAGGAATCCCAGAATTCCCCAGGGTTGACCGGAGAATTCTGGGAGTTGAAATCCACACGTCTTAAGAGTGGACCAGGTTGGGAAACACTGTGAGAGGAGGGGAGAGGGAGAAGGGGGAGGAGAAGGAGAAGGAGAAGG